AGTGTCCTCGGCCCAACCATCTTCAGCTGAAGGTCATCAGAAGGTCAGAAGTTGGGATGCTCACTGATGATGGGACTGAATTCAGCACCATTCGCAGCTCTTCAGATCTTGATGCAATTACGTCCAAATGCAGAAAGACCTGGACAATATCCAGGCTCGGGCTGACAAGTGGCAAGTCAATCTGGTGCCACACAAGAGGCAGGCAGTGATACTTTCCAACAATAGACAATCTCACCATTGTCCTTTGGCATCGAGTAGCATTATCTTTATGTTTCAAAGATCCATCCTCTCACTATCCTAGCTTTGATGAGAAACTGAACTGGACCAGCCAAGAAAACAGCAGGACAGAGACAGGGTTAAGTGTCCACCATCTGCAAGGTAGAGATCTTGCAATAACGGTCTCTATTTTCCTGGACAAACACAGGTTCAACAAAACTCAAACTGAACACTATTCCAGACAAAATAGGACATTAATTGGCACTAAATCCACAACTCCAAACATTCATATCTTCCATCACTGCTGTGCATTGACAACAGTGTGTACCATCTACAAGATGCACTGCAACAACTCACCAAGGTTCCTCAGGCAGCACATTCCAAATGCATGACTTCGGACCACAAGGCAGCAGATACATCAGAACATGACAAGTTCCCCTCCATCATCCTGAGTTGGAAATATATCGCCATTTCTTCAGTGTTACTGGGTCAAAATCCCAGAGTTCCCTCCCAAAATACACACATAGGTTGAAGGAATTTGTCAGAAGCAGGGGCAACAAGAGGAGACTGTTTTCAACATGTGTGTTGTAGTGATCTGAAATGTGAGTCTAAAATGGCAATGGAAGGAGATTCAATAGTGACTTTCAAAAGGGAACTGGGAAGATGATAGGAAAGAAGGTCGTGTTGAAAGGTTTTGGGATTAATCTCTTTGAAATCTCTTTGAAAGACGTGCCTTTGGGGTGATGGGTTGAATCGACTCCTGTTTTGTTTCATTCTGTGAGGCTCATTGCTGTTTGTGTGAACCTGCTGTGCAGAAATTGGCTTCCCAGGACAAACAGTGGGTACACATCAAAAGTCTTCACGCTGACCATGGAGCTTTTTGGGAGTTATGAAAGATGGCACATCTAAGATTGGCACAGACTCTCAGAACTGCACCCAGTGTGTTCGCTTGGCCTAGGCTTCTGGACTGAGGCCTGAAGCCACAACCTTTTTTGACACAGGCACAAGAATGCAGCCTACTGAGCGACAATTGATATGTTACATTCTGCAGTCGGTTATTTGAGTGAGATTTGAAGAGACCAATTACCATTTGTTTCCTGTTCTGATAGTTTGGTTTGTAAAAGTAAGGCCTCCTGAGATATGGTACTGCGGTTGCCCAGGGTAGTTGCTTGCATCAGCCGACGTGCAGGGACTACTTTGCAGTTCTCCGCCCAAGTCCCCACTCAGTATGGACAAGCTCAGGCTCGGGAGACGAAAATAACAGGCCCCGTGCACTGACGTTGTCACAATATTTCCAAGTGCTGTCACAGTTTTCACAAAAAAGCTCATGGGGCTAAGTTCCACAAACAATAATGAGATGACAGACCAGCTTCTGAGGGTTTCTTTTTGGGTGCTGCTGGTTTTCATGGCTGGGACTCCAGGGGAGCTCAGCTTTCAATGCGGTTTAGTCTCACATCCACCAAATCAACAATCTGAAAGCCAAGGACACCTCCCTATCAATGGACACTCCCAGGGTGTGGGCCTGGGCTCGAGGCTTGAGGCTCTGAAATGGGATGTGAGTCGAGGAACTCACCAATGGGACTCAAAGACTGAACCAGGACTGACACCGAGTCCAGCTCCCCTGTGAGGTACAAGGTGCTGAAGGTCATACTTCGCTGTTTTTTTTTTCACAAACACACTGACAAGAGCAAATAAGATATGTCCACCTTATTTCATTTGTTACTCTCAGTCAGATGGAGAGGCATTTTCAAAACCAATTCACTCCCACTTCTGTTTTGCTCAACAGACATTGGAACTCAATTTTACATCAGTGTTATACATATCCTATCAAGCTAACCACCTTATGCATTTCTGTTGGACCTGTGATCGAAGTGCAAAATTCTCACCCATATAATCAAATCGCAGTGTCGACTCTACCCTTCCTATCTTCTCCAGCTTTACAAGCTTCTATGGTCTCTGTACACCGAACTGTACTGGCTACTTGAACATCTCTGAATTCAATCCCTCCATCATCAACCTTCACCTTCCTGTGTCCTGGGCTCTGGGGTTCCTTCCCAAACCTCTCCATCGCCCTCTTTTCCATTCATATGCTCCTTCCAAAAACAAATGCAGCTCTTCCACCAACCTTTTGGTCACCTGTCTGAATATTTCTTTCCTTGGGTCATGATCTGATTATGACGGTGAAGTGCCTTGGCAAGTCTGATTCCACTGAACCTGTTCTTTAAAGGTATTCTGCATGGTAGAAGTGGATATTTTCTGTTGCAATGTGTATCCATTGCAGCTGCTTGGTGCCTGTTTAGTGTGGCAATGCATCTGTTCGAGATATGCAGAATTATACCTTACTTAGACCCTGTGGCACAGAAACACGCAATACATCTAGCATGGAATTCATATGCCACATAAATCTCCTCCCACCTCACTTCACCTCATCCATTTCAGCAGATCCTTCAATTCCTTTCTCCAGCCAGTTTTCATCCAACTTTCCTTCCTACCAAGTACTTGGAGAAACTTTTGAGAGATGTGAGTCCATTGCCATGTCAATGCAAGACTTTGTTCTACTTATCAAGGATGCAAATTTGTGGAATATTCATCCAGAGGCAGATCGCTGTCACTGCAACATCATTTGAAAACCAAATTTAATTCAATTCAGTGCTGTGCCTCTTGCCAATTCGAACCTCTTTAGCCAACGATGAAAAATACTTTTTCAAATCTTGTTTACTTTGATGAAGAATCAGTCATCAGATAACAAGATTGCTAGGATTATAATAAACCTGCTCATGTAGCACCTGTCACTTCAAATAGCTCACACATTGAAGTAATCAAAAAATACATTGATTATTTCACAAAATCCGCTGTAGCATTTCTAACAGTAATAAGATACAGTTACAAAACAGAAATTGCTGGAAAAGCTCAGCAGGTCTAGCAGCATCTGTGGAGAGAAAGCAGAGTTAATGTTTTCAGGTTCAGTGACCCTTCCTCAGAACAGTTCTTCAGATGCTGCCAGACCTGCTGAGTCTTTCCAGAAATTTCTGTTTCTGTTTCTGATTTCCAGCATCCGCAGTGCTTTAGTTTTCTTCTCATGAAGTACAGTTCTTCTGTTTCTGCCAATATTTGTTTGAAGGAGAGAAATAAAATCACGACTGTGACGTTTCAAAGCACCTTCTAATCAAGGAATTGCTTCTGAAACATAATTATGGTTGTAATGCAAGAAGTATGGCAACCAATTTGTGCACAGCAACTTCCCAAACACACCAGTTAATAGTAACCCAAATGTGAACAGCTGGATCAGGCAGTTTGGCCCTCTGTTTAAAGTTTCATGGGAGGCACTGGATTGTCAGTCTAAATTGTGCACATAAAGTCTGGAGGAGTGCTTAAACCAACAACTGTGTTTTTAACAATTGTGTGTGTGCGTCTGAGTGAGTGTATGTATGATTGTGTGTACGTGTGAGAGAGTGCGTATGATTGTGTGTACG